TTTCTTCGATAATATTAGATTATTATCTAATATTATATTAATAACAATTTAATTATTTTTCAATAATATTTTATCCCGCACTAAAATCAAATAATGTATATATATTGAAGATCACTTTCAACATAAATTTTATATTAAATGTTTATCAAAATACAATTCTCTATTTGCAGACACCAGAAATTTTATGGACTGGTGATCTATTGACGGTGCCCATGTGGCAGCACCATGTGGCAGCTGTGGTCATTCTGTTGGTCTGGCTGGAGCTGATGATGCTGGTCGGAAGATTTCCCATATTTGGCGTCTATGTGCAAATGTTTACTAAGGGTACGTCGAGACGTTCTTCAATAATAATTGAAATACAACTTAAATTGAAATTCCAATATAAATAAATATATTTTATATTTTGTCTCTCAGTGGCTGTTAACTTTGGCAAATTCCTGATGGCCTACATCTGTTTGCTGATTGCATTTGGCTTGAGTTTCGCGGTGCTCTTCAACGATTATCCGGCATTCGAGAATATAACATGGTCGTTCCTTAAGTCGTTCACCATGATGTCCGGGGAGCTGGAGTTTGAGGATATATTCTATGGCGATTATGCGGTGAAGTTTCCCGTTACTTCACACATCATCTTCCTGGCCTTTGTGCTGCTGGTAACAGTGATATTGACCAATCTGATGCTGGGCCTGGCCGTTAGCGACATACAGGGTCTGCAAGTGTCCGCCACGCTGGATCGGCTGGTGCGTCAGGCGGAGCTGATATCCCGTCTGGAGAGCCTGTTCTTCTCCAGGCTGCTGCGCAATGCACCCCTCGTGGAGTACTGCAGGCGCAAAGCTCTGCTTCGCACATCGCGCGACCGACTCCAGTTCACGGTGCGTCCCAACGATCCGCGCGATCGCTCCCAGCTGCCCGAAGACATCAAGCTGAACGTCTACAAGCTGGTTGCGGAGCGGCGTGATCGCAACATGAGCACGCGCAGGCGACAGTTCGAGAAAAACTATCACATGTTCAGTCACAGTCTGCGCCAGCGACAGCAGAACGTCAACTGTGACGAGTCGAAGGCCCCCCCACAGCGCGCCCAACAACTGGAGTCTCCCCACGCGCCCGTGCAAACCCAATACTTTCAAATGAACGAGCTCTTACGTCCGCGCTCTGCCACAAATGTGCCGCAGCAGCTGCGCAAGGAGCACGAACTGAAGTGCCAACAGGCCGACGAGTGGCGCATAGAGCTGCAGTTGATCAAAGAGCAGTTGGCCCAGCTCACAGCCAAGTTTGAAAAGTTCTCAGAGAATGCACTGCGCAAGCTCAACTACAGCGCCAACGAGCTGTGCCGCATGAGGCAGCAGCAGCAGCAGCAATCGGCGTCCTCTTCAACAGCAACGACTGAGACATTGCGCCATCACCATCGTTGAGACAATTACGTGTATGATATATCATTAAAAATTATATATTTTTAAATGTAAATTTAAAAAATAAAAATAAATGAATATTTTTTCAATTGATTTATATATGAAAGTTGCGTCAGTGGTTCTTGTGGTTCTAGATCTGGGTTTTTTGATCCTTGTCTTTATATAAATACATTTAAAACAAACCCATTTTATCTTGATTTCCCATTTTCATTGAGTTCAAAGTATAAAAATTACATAATTTCATAATTCTTTACAGGAATATTTATATCCAAGTTGAGGACTACGCTCTGCAATAGAGGGAGACTGAGTTCATTCAACTTTGATTGCTACCTTTTTATTGAGATAAGAATATTAAACACAAATTTATAATATCTTAATGCAAATAAAATATTATACAAGTTCTTCTTACTAATTGAGTAATCCAATTATGTCTTTCATAGACAATCGTTGCGTTTGGTCGTGAATCCAGCAACTTTCAATCAAAGACTTATAGTGCTCACAATATTTAATATTACGAATATCCTGCAGTGGAGGACGCTCACCTGCATGTAATTATAATAATATTGATCAAATTCAACATATTACAATTTCAATGTTTGACAAGTACTTACCGCTAACGGCCAAATGGATGATGGCCAGTGAACTCATTTGTTCCAGGTGATAGAAGGGCTTCTTTCGTGCCAACACCTCCCAGAGCACAATGCCAAAGCTATAAACATCGCTCTTGTCTGTATACCATTGGCCCAGCGCAACCTTGATGTGAATGTTCAAAATATTTATGAATATATATAATATAGAATATAGTAATTTTAGGCGCAACAAACCTCGGGCGCCATATATGCTGGAGTGCCTATGCAATTCGTCATCAAAGTGGCCTGATCCCGAACCGTTCCGAAGTCGGCTATCTTCAAGGTGCGAAATGCATTGACGAGCAACAAATTGTGCGGCTTCAGATCGCGATGGATGACAGGCTTTGGTGTCATATCGTGCAGGTATGCAACACCCTACAAAAAACAAAAGAAATATATATAAATAAACTGTTTGTATAATCAATATACAATTCGATATTTCCCACCTTGGCCAGCTGTTGCATCCAATTGAGCACAGTTTTGTGCGTATACTTATGCTTCTTATCGCCATTGCAGTGCAAATAGTTATTAAGTGAGCCACAGTCGGCATATTCCATGAGAATCAATGTATTGCCATTAGCATCTTCCGTGGAGCCAAAGAATTTGATAATATTCTCATGGTTAGCTCGGAAAAGCTGCCGCACTTCTCTCTCAATCCATTTGCCATTCTCGGCACCCTTCTGAATTCTTTTCACCGCCAATTCAATATCAAATAAATTGGCTCGCACAACAACACCGAAGGAGCCTTGTCCCATTACCTATACAATAAATATAATTTGATTAAATTCTCAGAGAAATTGACTGTCTGACAGGGGCTTACCTCACCCAATTGCATCTCAGAGACATTTGCGGTTGTCGTTTCCAAATCAAAATCCATATCATAATACAGTCTGAAAATAGGAAAGTTTTAATAACTATTTGAAAACTCTAATAATATTACAATTCACATCCAATTCACCTCCCATACCAATCTGTTAGCACAAAGTTTTTAACTTTATTCAATTCAATATTTACTGCTCTCTTTGTTTGCTCTATATACGGCCATACATATTGTTATCTTTAATGCTTTTTATACCCATTACAGATGTGAATTTGGGCTATATTGGTTTTCAGAAAATAAATATAGCAAACAGAAGAAAGCGGGTTAATATTTAATAATTAAATTCACATTAATAGATTAGTTTTTAAATTTGTTTATATATAAATATGTATATCATATTTAAGTTCTGAAAACCAATATACTCTTCCTTTATCTTAAACGTGCCTACTCTAATATTAACTTTGAAATTAAATACCTTGCAATTATGTTGAGGTTCAAGATCACGTCCTCCATAGTGGGTCGCTTGTTCTTGTTATCATCTCGACATCGGGCAATCAGAGAGTTTAACTCGCTGAAACCGGGCATATCAGTATCCAGCGTTGACATATAGAACAACACTTCCCAGAGCACCACGCCGAAGCTATATACATCATACTGTTCGGTGTAGTAGTGTTCTATGGAATTTAGAAAGTATGTTTGCATACGTATGAGATGAGTTTCATTCAGATAGGCTTGTTTCTTTCGCCGAGTCTCTGGCGGCGCATAATCGTTGCAGCTCTCTTCAGCTCCGCTGGCCAATTCGCCGATCTTCAGGCAGCGAAGGTTGTTCGTCAAAAACAAATTCTGCGGCTTTAAATTACCGTGGTATATGGGTTTTGGCTTCAGAGCATGTAGAAATCCAACACCCTGCGAAATGGTCATATGAATATAGGTTTAATATATTTATTAGATTTCTATAGATACCCTGGCAAACTGCAGCATCCAATTGATTGCATCTCTTGGTACGTAATTTGGTACTCCGGCCCAGTGAATGTGAGTATAGAGCGATGTACCTTCCGCAAATTCCATAAGGACCATTGCTTTACCCGGTTTCTCGGCTGTGCCATAAAATTTGAGAAGATTCTCATGATCGACATTCAATAACTGCTCATATCTGCTCTTGAACCATTTATAGTCAATCAGAACATAGGGATAGATTTTAACGGCAATTTCTTTCTTATGCCATGTTGCCTTTCTCACTATGGAGCCATAATCTTTCACGATTTCCTTTAAAGTAGCAAACTCTAACTATTTGTATATTTTAATATATTATTTCATTACCTCCATAAAATCGATATCTTGCAATTTCACATCCGCACACATGTTAGATTCAAATAGCACTTGTAATTTATTAAGCAGGAAAAAGATTATCTAAGAGTTTTTCGTATAAAATATCAATATCATTGATAAAAGTTCAGAGTCTATGTTTCAGATAAGCAGATATTCAATATTGATATATGTATATATATGATAAATTGCTACACTTGTCTTATATTCGACGATTTACCTCGAACTAACTTATGTGACTGAAACCGTAGCAAATGTCCACTTGAGCTTATATATGCGACTGAATTAACTGATTAAACATGAATGATAAGGCTATCGTATTGCATTATAACTTTTTTCTATTAGAGGTCGATAGACCTCCACTTCCATAGCTGTAGCCTTGGGATAGACCAAGCCTTGTTATACCCTGTTTTTGGCAAAGTGGCAAAGTGCATGAAAATTTCAAACTTTTCAAATTGATGTACTCGGAGAGAGTAGTTGCAGTCAAATGAATCAATTTAGTGTGTTTATTATATGAACAAATTGTGTTTAATTAGCAGCACAAGCTAAAATGTAAGAATGAGCAGTTATGATATGAATCTTAATTGATTTCATGAGGCTCACAAAGTAAAAATATAACATGTCTCACGGTACGAATTCTTGTTTATTTATGAATACAATCTTTATTAAAGTTCTTTTATAATTTTGTGAATGAATTTTGTTTTTGTTTAGACAATATTTTTTAACTACTCTTAGAAACTCGTTTTTCTAGATCTGGCAAATGTGTGTCTATCAAAGAAACTAGAAAAATAAGAAACAACAACTTAATTAAAATCTCATTCAATAACAAATTGATATTATATTAGAAAAAAAATATTCATTATATATTATATTAGGCTTTCGTTTACTGAATGTATACAAATTTTATATATACATGTCATTTTTACAATTTAAAAAAAATCAATAATAATAATACAAATATCTCCCATTTCAATTATGTGTTTTATGTTTACATCTTTTTTTTAAATTCATGATATTAAATTCTAAGAAATTATGAGGCGCATATGAATGAAAATACTCAAGATTAGATAGAATGTGAAGTGAATCAAGCAACAGCAACAATTGAATTGCAGTCACTGGATTAATTTACGAATCTAATTTAGATATGAATATATAGCATATAATGCAGCTAAAATTTTTTTTTATAAATTTTCTGTCTCAAGATAAGAAATTCAAGCAACCAATGCAAGACTTGAATGACCTATACTCAATGAGTTTTGTGTGTCCATAGCTTAAAAAATATGTATTTAACAAATATTTATTGCTTTTTAAGAATTTTAGCTGACTACAGAACTCTTCTAATTTGAGTATATAGTATATCAGTTTATTGATATTTAGATATGTGTGCTCTAAAATTCTACAAACAAATATCGTGCGAATAATGTATATAAAAGTGCCTAAGAAATTTGCTTGTGAGCTGGGGAATATAATGCTTTATGTATTCCGATAAACAACAGCTAAGATAATTGCTTCAAGTTAACATCTTTAAGAGCCTGGCCCGTTGGTTAGCCATTTATCGTTGCTCTGATTCCAGATCAAAGTCCCTTCATCCGGCTGTGGATCGTGAGGCGAAATCTTTGTCCAGGTCTGGGTTTTTGGATTGTAAGCAAAATTCTTGGAATCGCCCGGCGGCGGCGGTGGCGTTTGGTTCAACAATGGAGGTCGTGTGATTGGCACAATATTCGGCTTATCGCCTGGGTGTACATTTATATATTCCACTTGTGACTTGGGATTGGAATAGTCAATGGCGAGGGTCTGGTAGCCCAGCAGCAAAACAACTGCAAAGACTTCGATGTGAATACATTTGAAACTGTGAGAATATTTTCACTTACGGCTTATGTGAAATAGGCCTAGTCGCAGCATTTTGTTTGTTTTTTATTATTATTATTTTCTCTTTTTATTTTTTGTTGTTCTCTCACTTTGTTGCTCCGCTTAATGGCAACAAACAGGCAAGCGTTTCGGCTGCGACTGCTCAGAATTTATTTTCTACACATTAGACAAGTCGCTAAAATAGCGCGAGTGTGAACATTGAAATCTCAGCTTATTAATATGTGTATGTGTTATACCCTGTAACCGGTAAGTTCTGTCGAGGGGTATATTCAGCGTGAATATGAACTTGTAAAAATTTATTGACTGGTTTAGTTACGATAAATATTCGGTATGAGCTTATGTTATAAGTTTGACTCAATTGACTTACGCAATAGGTTTTTAGTCTGAATATGTTAATTAAAATAAAAATATATTTAACAAACAATATAACAAATAGTATTTTATATAACAAAAATTATGTAGTGTATTTTTTATGTAAAGCTGTTCTTTAATATCTTAACTTGTATCAATATCAAGCAAAACCAAATATAAAATCTTGAGATTCTAGAAAGATTTTAATTTTTCTGAGTTTATATAAATATACGTATATACCAAATCATGTCCTTCATACCATATAGCAATAAAAATTAATTTGCATTTAATAGTTTTTCCTACACTTTATTAATAATAATTATTTATGCATTATTATAACTAAATGAGTAACATTCTTATTTCACTTTTGTTTTTTTGTTTGTGTGTTTTTGTGATACAAGGTAGCAGCGGATCGAGTATATTCTCCTCACTATTAATCGCTTGTTTTTATTCATACACATCTAAGGTCATTGGTAAAGCATTGAACTATAGATTGTGTAGCGGATATTTTCACTTCAGATCTTACAAATCCCCTAATGCAATGCTCTACGTAGTGCTGCAGACGCCCAAGTGTACAGAGCGAACATCTATGAATAAGAGTTGAAAGAGAGTCAAAAAAGTGTCAAAGAGAATTTAAGCGAATGTTTAAGACAAAGGCAACTCACTTTGACCACATCGAATGGCACAGTTGAGTCGTCCCTCGTTGTAGTAGTTAACACCGTCACTACCACAGATGGGATTATATTCACTGGTCGCTGGGCAGGTTTGGATACAAGCCAGCATGCGAGGCGATGCAGTTGTTGGTTGAGCCGTAGTCGATGGCCTAGGAGATGTAATCGGCTGGCCACGAATGAAAGTCTGTGTCAGGTCCTCATTCCAAAGCGGAAACTGCGGACGGGCTGCTGCAACAGCGATGAGCAAACAGAAAACTGCAAGCGGAATTCATGAGTTACGTTCTTTTTTCTTTTTTTAGCTTATGATTAGGAAACAAAACCCACCGAATATATGGGAAATTTCCATTTTTGTGCGAGTGCCACGAATTTGTCCGAACGACTGTGAAACTGAAATACTTCTGAGCCCGTCCAGCGACCCGTTGCGTACTTATAAGCGAAGCCCTGAACAGAGGCGTATTTTGGTATTGATTGCTATAAACGTCATCAGCTACACGAGCTTGGACGAGTGAATTTCGTGTATAGATCGAGGGGATTGCCCTGACTTCATATAGAGCTGAAACTGGTTACAGAATGTAGAAGACTGAATTACTTCTAAATTAATGATGCAATTCATGAGTCACTCGTTGGGCGACATCATATATTCAGTCTGACGGATATTCACTAAGGATTAACTATTCTGCGCACGATCGACTCTGCATTACCAAGTGTAAGAAACATCCATTGTACATTCTCTGAACGAACTGCATCTCTTAAAGCTACACATTTTAGAATTTTGATGCACCTTGATCATTGTTTAAAAAATAATACTTGTCGTACAACCATAAAATATTGTTTATTTCTATATATTCTCCCCTTCAGATGAGAACGTGGCATGACGCAGTATGGTGTATACAATGTTATAACAATTAACTTTAAGCTCTATTTACGACCTATTATTTTTTTGTACTCGGTTATGTAGATATATGTAAAAATATTTAGATACATAGATACATAGATACATAGATACATAGATACATAGATACATAGATACATAGATACATAGATACATAGATACATAGATACATAGAT